CAATTGAAATTATACAAGAATTCACTAAAAAAAAAAAAAGAAAAAAATACATACAGTTGCAAACATTTCTAAAATCTTGATATTCACTTGGAACATTGCTCATTGCATTATCTCTTTGTTCTAACGAAAGATTTTTCAAATATTTATCCCAATCTCCATTATAATTTTCAAGAGCTTGAGTGAGTTGGAACAAAACAGACCCCAAAGAGCAAACATCATATTCTTTTGGACGCATGATCGATTCACTATCATCATTATCTTTCTTCATGATTTTTTGCAAGAAAGAACGTTTTTTGGTCAACGTTCTAAAGTTGAATATTCCGAAATTGATTAATTTAATAGTATCACGATAATATAAGATACTATCCGAACTCTATATACATGTTGAAAAAAGAGAGAGCGTGTTATTTATTTAATTCAGAAAAAAAAATAATAATAATAATAATAAACATTTGTTTTAATTTATTACCAAATTTTTATGAAAAATGTTATGTTCGTGTAAGAATAATAATGCGTTTGAAATATCTAATGCGATTTTAATTTTTTTATTCCAATCCAAAGTTTTAAAATTATTTTGCAAGTATTGAGTAAGGGTCACACAATTAATATATTCCAATACGAGATAATATTCATCTTTACTTGCATCTATTATTGTTATCATTATACGTGTAATATTTTGTAAGTTTTAGCAAAGATACAACGTAATTAATTAATTAATTAATTAATTAATACCTTTATAAACACCGTGTAATTTTAATGTGGATTTATCGGAACCTGCCTCCCACATTAATTTAATCTGACGAAAACCATATATATTTTAAAAATGCGGTGCAAAAAACCATAAAAAAAACCCCCCCAGATTATTTTTTCCCTTATTTACCTCATCAACTTCGAAACGAATATTGGCAACATTGATTGGTTTTAACACGACGGTAGAATTATTTTTCTTTAATGTGGCAATTTCAACGTTTCCGTATATTTTGGAATTGTTAAAACTGAAATTTTCAAGATCTTTATCGGAAAATTTTTGAATTTTGAATCCATCAAATTTTGATTCAAGAAATTCACTTATACTTTGTTCAATAACTTTTCCCATTTGTACAAGTTTGTAGATTAGGCTTGAGAGAGAATGTGATTTGTGTCGTTTGTATGGAAAAGAAAAAGTAAAAGTAATAATAATAAAGAAAAAATAATTCGTTTTAAAAAAAAAATTCAAAAGGAAATTAATTCAACTCGAAAAAAAAAATATTGATCAAATAATTAAAAAAAATGAAAATACGAAATTGTTTATTATATATTTATATTTATACGGCCAAGAATCAAAGCTAATGATTAGTTATTAATTAATCACTAAATATAAATAATAATATACGACAACGAGAAATTTCGAAAGTAAACAAAAACAAATAATTTCTTTTTTTATATTACACACGAAACATGAAACTAAATCTAATTTTGGGTTGATTTTCTTCTTGTAATATTAATAAAAATAAATATAAAATGAACTTTCCAGAAATGCGTGGCATTTTCGTTAGTATTAATATGTTTCGTTCGTTGCATTTCTAGTTTAGAAGATTCAACTCCCATCACTATAATATCCCACGTCTTACTAACAACAAATTATTATTATAGTAATTTATTTTTTTAAATAAGACTATATATACACTCCTTGGAAGAAAGTACCGGACGTAGCTGTCGATTATTCCGTAAAATTTGCACAATAACAACAAAACAAGAAGGTGAAACAGAGGAAGATGTTGAAGAAATTAAATCACAAATTCATTCGGTAAAACAAGATTCGGTTAATTCTACTCAACGATCTTTGCGATTGATTCAAGAGGCTCAAAATAGTGGAGAAAAAACTTTAAATAAGCTTGGTGAACAAACACGTGAGCACCCTTATATTTTTTATTTGGCTTTATATTTATTTATTTATATATTTATATATATACATATTTATCAATCTATTAATCAATTAGAACGTATTAACTATACTGAAAATAAATTGGAACTTGCTGAAATACATGCTCAACGAGCTGCCGATAACGCTAGCAAATTGAAAAAAGCAAGTTTTAAAATAATTTAATAAATTGAAAAAAAAAGCAAGTCTTTAGTACTTACATATTTACAATTTTAATATATACGTGTACATACATATATTATATAGGTTAACGGCTCAATGTTTGGATTTGATTTTAATAACCCATTTACCAAGAAGAAACGTGAAGCTGAACAATTAGCTCGTATTCAAGCATTACAAGAAGAACAAAGAGATAGCCGTGAACAAATGAGGAGTGGAAATTGGGAATCGAAAAAAAATATCGAAAATGCATTGAAACAAGCCAGTAACAATAATACCATGTCATCTCATTATCAACCTGGGCAATCAACTAATCGATCAAAATATCAATTTGAAGCTGATGAGGAAGATGATAGATTAGAAGATCAGATAGACAAAAATTTGGATAGTCTTGCAGCGGGTTTAGGAACTTTACAAGCTATGGTTTGTATATCATTATCATTATCATTATCATCGTTATATATTGGAGAGATATATTATAAATGTTGTATTGTAAGATTTATTAAATTTTTTACTATTGTAATAATAAAATTATTATTGCTATTATTATTATTATTATTATTATTAGGCAATTGCTACTGGAGATGAAGTGAGAAGACAAAACCAAGTTATAGACCGTATTTCTGACAAAACTTCTGCTTTGGATAACCGTATTGTTGGAACTACTCATAAATTGAAAAAAATCGGATAATTATATTATATTTTGTTTTTTTGTTTTTTTTAATATAATGTATTCTATTAAATATATTTTATTAGATATATACACGCCTTACTTATTTAAATATTTTGTACAACAATTAACTTTTTTTTGGAAAGAAAATTTTTGACGCGTCCAAAAAATTCAAAAAATTTCTATATATAAAAAAATTAATAAATAAAAAAAAATAATAAAAATTTGTCGTTTAATTTGATTTTTGATTTTTGAAAAAGTATATAATATAGATAGAAAGAAATAAAGAAATATAATTTAATATAATTTATAATAATAATAATAATTATTATATAATTGGCCGAAAAGTAAATAAATAAATATTATGATTTGATTGAAGAATGCGTACAACTATCGCGTGCATATTATTTTTGATTGGATTTCCATCAAATAATTTTAAAGTTGGAAAAAAAAAAAAAATAAAGATGCTAGCTAGCTAATAGGTAAAAAGCAAGAAAAAAAGTGTAAGCAAAACTTATGTTTATTTATTTGCTGGTACTACCAATGTTTTATCATCACACAAATATTTTAGACGCGACCTCCATACAGAATTATATATATGTATTTTTATATAAATAAATATATTAAATATATGTGTATATTACTACGAAACAAAACTAAAACTAAAAAATAAAAATTAATAACAAGTTCATTGTTGCTTTAGTAAATTCCACTTTCTCACCAACAAACAACCTTTTGCTACCATTCCCAAAAAACATCTGATTTAATATTTAATATTTCTTTATAAACAAACATACAGAATTTAAAAAAAAACACTTATAATTTCATCTTTTAACATCATGCCTTCTAAAACTTCTAAATATGTGTATCAAGGTCATAGTAAAATAATTTCAGGCGTAATAACTGTTTTAGAAGCAGCCAACAGACCATTATCTTTACAGGAATTAGTAGACGAAATGACAAAAAGGCAATTGGTGGTTTTTCAGTAAATATATATGTTTTTTTTGAATTTAGCATTTTGACAATTCTCATCATATACGCGAGACACTATATTTATTTTAGAATATGTCATAATTAAATTATTTTATTTGTTACCCTTACTCTTTAGTGGTGCAACTCCAAGAAATACAGTCAGTGGTGAAATTAGTAAACTTCTTAATGCTGTGGGTCCAAGTAATGCTCCAATTCTTAAGATCAACCAAGGAAAACTTACCAAATTTTATTTAAGAACACAACAACAACATGAAGATTCTTTGTATGTTAATTTTTTTAAAATTAGTAATATAAATAACATCAATATTAAAAGAATAATGTTGATCAACTAAATTTATTAAATAACAATATATATATATATATAGAAGACAGATTTCAGCTGGTAAAGCCAAAAAAAGATATTATGCGCGTAATAATCAAAATAATCAAGATAATCAACATACCTCGAAGGCTCTTGTAAGTTTATCAGAAAATCAAAATCAAAAAGAACGCGTCTATGATCTCAAAAAAATACGTCAGATGGAAGATCTAAAGTAATTATATAAGAAAAAAAAGATATTATGTATATATATATATATATATATATATGAAATGTGTTTACTAAATCTCTCACACACACACATATAAATATGTTTATTTTAATAATTATAGAGCTGCATATTTATTGTCTTGCTTGTCTATTCATTCCTTTTGGCTGAATTATAAAAACGAACCTGAGAAAGATTTTAATTATTTTTTGGAAGCTCATGTTGGTGAAACTTCTTTAATAGCGACAAATTCTTCTAATAATAGTAATAACAATAACTACAACTACAACAATAATAATAATGAAACTAATGAGAATATTAAATTATGAAAATTGATTATTTCCTTTTTTTGATTTTGGATAATTTTTTTATAAATGATATCGATCATAATAGTAGTGATGATGACGATAATAATAATAATAGTGATAATAATAAATACATTAATATACATACATTACACACTTCAATTTATTAAACCCATAATAAATATAACCGTTTTTAATTTGTAGATATTAATTCTTTCTTCTTACTACCTATAATTAATATAATTAATAATAATTAATATATATGATTGATTTAAGAACGATTAATCCTGATAAGCAAATAATATGTTTTCTTTTTTATTTGTCAAAATTTTTTTCTCTGTAAATTTTTTTTTATTTCTCTTCTTTAATAAGTTTCTTTGTAATTTTTTTCCCCTTTAAACCCTCCCCCCCAAAAATAGAATTTTTTTTTTTTTAGAATTTTAAAATAATATTTAAATTTTTTTCTTTTTTTTTTTAAAATTAATATTTATATAAAAAAAACTAATTAATTAAAAAACAAAAAAAATAAAAA